CTGAACCAGCGTAGCCCTGGCCGCTAAGCACTTCAGGTGCCACGTAATTTGGAGTTCCACATGTGGTACGTAGAAGTTCTACTCCCTGCTCAAGTATAAAACAAATCAGAAAAGAGAGGAGTCAACCTCAAAAGCAGATGAAAATCTCATCTAACATGAGTTCTAAAGCAGAGATAGAAGCATTACTTGTTGAGGCAATGCGCTCAATCCGAAATCTGAAACCTTCAGATTTCCATAACCATCAAGCAAAAGATTTTCAGGCTACATATCATGGAAAGGTTGAACCACGTCAGGACAACAAAAACAATCAGAAAATAGAAACACTCCAAGCAATGCTTGTCAACAAAAAAGCCCCACCTTTAAGTCACGGTGATAAACACCCTTGCTGTGACAATGAGCAACAGCATCTATAAGTTGTTGAAAGTATTTCCGACACTCACTTTCTCGGAGTCTTCCATTATGAACCTACACCAATCAGGTACATTAAAAACCCAAGAACTACCAACATTCAAAGTCATAGACGATTTAACTTGATGAGTCAGTAAACACGTAGACTTTATAAGTGATGAGCAAATAAAAAAAACGTCAGGTTCCTTACAATTTTGTCAAAGAGCTCTCCTCCTGTCACAAACTCCAAAATGATATATATCTTCGTATGACTTGCCAAGACCTACATCCAAAAATAGCATCAAGGAAGAACAGAAGATGAAAATATCAGATCAGATAGCTGAACATGTCAAAACCTCAGAGACAGATATCAATCTGATGACGCATACATACATACCTCATGCAACCTCACTATGTTAGGGTGTCTAACAATCTTCATTATGGATATCTCTCTTTTAATCTGAAGACACAAAAGGAAGAAGTGAAATGGTTAAACCAGAACAAGAACATAACACAAAAATCAAACCGCAAACCATCTACACAACCAAAAATGCATTAACAAAAATCACAAAAGCCGAAGATTTAGGACATGGTGACCCAAACCCAGATTTGTTTACTGGAAAACACAACAGAGACAACATACCTGATCAACCATCCTATGCTTAAGTATGGTGCTTTTGGCCATAATTTTCATGGCTACATTTTCTCCGGTTTCTGTGTTCCTCGCGAACTTGACCTTAGCAAACGTTCCTTCGCCGATCGTTCGACCAACCTCGTACTTCCCCACTTTCCTCATTTTCCTCGTCATCTTACGGAGCTCGTTTGCCGATCCCATGAACAGTAATGACTCGAATTATTCAGAAACCTACAAAAATTTAATCAAATCAAAAGCAACAATGGCCAAATGAGAACGGAAAAAGCTAGTCTTATTTCATCACGCAATGAAACAACGAAATCTGAAGAAGAATCCTATCGAAGCGCACAATTCGCTGCAAACGCTGCTTTCAATTACCACTTTCAGACTAAACCTACACCGGAAAACACCACAGAACCTAGAATTTCCTGGGAAAAGGCGCAAGTGAAAACGACAAGAAGAAACAAGAGGAACTGATTCTTCCAATGCGAATCCAGCTCTCCGATTCGAGAAGGGGAGAGAAACTCAGAAATTACCTGGTGACAGAGACAGGGAATCCGGCGATAATCTCCGGCGAAACCTTCCGAGACGAAGACAAGACTCAGCAGAGATATACGATCGCCGGTGACGGCGAGTGGACGAATAAATGTACGAAATAAACTGCATTGCTGAGTTACAGCATCTTTGTAAGCGCATTATTATTTCGAAGAAAACAATTTATTTAATTAATTAATTAATTAATTATTCAGACTGTTTCGTTAATTAACGTGAGAACTAGTTTGAGATTTCTTCTTTCGTTGGCTAATCCAGTTTCATCAAAGACATATTTAAAAGCCTTTTTTTTTCTTCTAAAGTACACATTTGTCTAATTCTTAATGGCGTGATTAACGTATTACTATTTTTTTTTACAAAATGATTGAAATTAAAAAGTCAATTTGCAAATTATAAAAAAAGCTGGACTTTACTTTTAAGTTTTATCCATGAAAAAAAATATTCAAATTCTTCTATTTTTACGTTAACCAATTCATTAGTTTTTACTAAGTTTTGACGTTATATTTTACATTTTGGTATACATATTAAATTTTTTTTATAGAAATACAGACAAATATTAAGCTCAATTAATGATAAATTGATAGTACGTACAAAATAGTGAATATTTTCGCCAATTTTTTAGCAGTAAATTTTATTCTAGTTTTAACACTAAAGATATAATATGAAATTACATTTTTCAAAGACATTTTTTTTAAAAAAAATATTCTAACAAAGTTTTTTTCCCTTTTGGACAACGAAATGCTAATCTAATTTATTTGAGTATATAAATACGAGAAAAAATATACTGAAAATAATATATGTAAGAGAAATGCATGTTTTCTTTTATTTTCTGTTGGGAAACCGTAGAAAGATTTTAACTTTCAACTATCAAGATAAGAAAAATTATTATCATAATAATATTTTACTTTTGACATTATTATACATTTTAAATCATGAAAATTCGGAAAATATAATTTAAATCTATTAGTACGGTATATTTATGTTCTTTTTTACATTATTTTATTACAACTTAAATACGTCGATCAATCGTCACATTTTTCTATCCATATGTGATTGTTTCGTAATTCATTAATTATTAATAAAAAGAAAAGAAAAGTTTAAGAAAGAAGTGGTGAAACGTGGATATTTTGGGTGGAACATATGAAATTCAATAATAATAATATTTCTCATATATTAATTGAATTTGATATAAAATTTTAATCAAATTAATTAAATAGAAATGAAACTTAAATAAAAATAAAATGAAAAATGAAAAAATGATCATAATTTAATATAAAAATTAAATAGATATATTTAAAAAGAATAATTTTAAAAATAATCAAATAGAAATAAAACCCAAAATTTCCATCCGAATAAAATGTTGATAAGTTTTTTGTGAGCAAGCTAATCCTTTTAGTAAGAAAACAAATCATTATGAATTAATAAAATCTTGCTTGTAAAGATAATATCCAGCCACATAAATTTGAGGATAGGAATTAAAAAAGCATATTATATAATAGAAAATTTGAAATATATTTCGTCATTTTGGATAAAATTATCAAATGGATACAAACAAAAGTAATTAGCTCACGTTTCTTTTCTCCATCAATGTCAACTTTCAACAGTAGATTCCACGTAGACGACAAGACCGACTTTCTCACCGCTACGTTTCGGTTTCGGATTCTTATTAGATTTTAAGGGATTACGGTTTGATTTCGGTTTCCCGTTTTGGTTTCTATCAAACAATAACCGAACATTTAAGTTGTTTACTTCTGATTTGGTTTCGGTTTCTTCGCTAATCGAGTTTTAATTCATTCGGTATGGTTTTCGAATATTCACTTTGGTGACATATAATTGAGTTCGATCAAATTCAGTTCAAAACGGTTATGGATTTGGTTCATTTGAATTCGGTTTAAGCAAACCAAACTGAAAACATTCGATAATCAATCTAAACTTGTTACAATGCCTATTTCGCTGCTTATTCTAAACCGGAATTAGAAGCAATACCGGTCCAAGTTAAACCGGTACACCGCAAACCAAATACAATACACAAGATTGGTCAGACGAATACAGACACGAGCAACTCAAGGACTTTGCACATAAAAAAACAAAACCTCAAGAACAAGGTTAAGTTGTAATAAGCCTTTCGAAGAGATGATCCCTAAAGCCATTACCAAAGTCCCTAAGAACATATATTCTGTCTAAATCGCAAACGCAACCATAACAAACGCACCCGCCGCACATTTGACGAAACCCGCATCCACGGTCCACCTGAGCAAAAACAACGCCTCCTATTTCCCTGTTCTTTCGCGTTGGAACAGCGGTGGCTCGAGACGGAGAAAAAATGTGTTTCGGAAACAGGTTTCTATATATAGAATCCTGCTAAAAAGGGAAGGGAAAGATCCGAGTACTGATCTTCTAAAAACCCCGAGCAAACAACGATTCACGAGCTCGGAATCTACACGGTGGATTCGGGTATTGGGGTGCAAGAACATACCCGAGAACTTGATGTTTGCGTAAAGAGAAAAACCGATAACATTATGAGAGAATATCACACCTCCATAAGCTTTCCTTGAGAAGCTGAATGATTCGGTTGGTTATCGAATTGCAACCTCGGATATTCAAACCAAGAAGTGTCCTCCCAAGCTTCTTCAAGGGCACAAGACTCTTGTTTGATACCTCGGAACATCCTGACACAGACAGAACTTGAAGGTTTAACCTTTTCTCAGCTCGGGATAGAGCAGCGACACCAGAATCCGTTATCCCGCACTTTGACATGTCTAGATCCTTTAGAAACAAGCAGCTCTCTGCTATGGCCGATAGACTTGAATCCGTGATCCTTCTACAACCCTCAAGATTAAGGACCTCGAGGGTTTCGCCATGAAACTTGGCCAAGTAGTAAACAACTTCATCGGTTAAGTTAAAGCAGCCGCTTAGATTTACCGAGACAAGACCGGCCCTGTTGTTTTCGATTATCGGGAGAAGCCCAGCATCCGTGGTCCCGTACAGACCACCGAGATCTAGATTTTGAAGCTGAGGGCTCAGCTTTCCGAGAATAGTAAGCCCAACATTACCAAATCCAGGACAATTACATACTGTTAAGGATCTCAGAGAGTTACACGGAGACAAATCCATCGATCCTAAGGTGAGATCCTTCATTCCCGTGCATCTCAGAAGGGAAAGCTACAATAAACATCCCTTTACAATAGGAAAAATGATAGAAGAGGTCTTTTGGCTAAGACCTTATGTCACCTTATGGTGGATCTAATTTGGAAAGAAAGAAACGATCGCATATTCAAGGAAAAAACGAGATTAATTCACGATGCACGGATTAAATTATTGTCAGTTCAGTTGGGCAACAACTCACGCCACAAAAGTTTATTCGAGGATTGGTACTACTTGACGGAAGACCTCCGTTAGACGGGGAAAGAGACTTCAAATTCGCTCCGGAACTCGAAAGAACACCGCAAATTCCTGACTGGGTAACCCTATTGCACTCCTCCAACTGTAACGTCTCAAGAGAGCCGATGGCCTTCGAGAATTCCACCAGTCCGTTGTCAGATACAAAGCAACATTTCCGGAGGAAAACGTGCTTTAGGGCTATCCCGCACTTCCCTAAAGCTCCGAAGCTCAGATCAGTGATTCCTTTACAAGAAGTGATTCCCAAAGACATCAACTTGCACAAACCCTGAGCATTTCCCATGACCCAAAAGCCTCTTTCGGTAACATTAGGGAGATTACTGAGCATGAGGCTGCTGATGGATTTTCCGTAGTGCCCGATAACGGCGAGGGAGAAATCCGTGATTCCTAGACCGTGAATATTAACCTTGGAAAGGGTGGGTGACGCGGAGGAAACCAGACTTGAAATCCCGTGATCGCCGATAAGTGGGCAGTCTTTGACAGAGGTAGACGCTAACTTGGGGCAGCACTGTCCAACAGCTTGCAAGGCCTCGTTTCCGATCTTCGGGCAGGACTCGATATGCAAAGTGGTCAGATTCGGGCAGTACCGTGCAATAGCGATCAAACCCAAGCTAGAAACCGAAGGGCAGTGGCAAAGATCGAGCTTTTCCAGTAAACGACACTCTTTGGCTACTTCAGAGAGACCTTTATCCCCGACACGAAGCACGTTCCATAAGGAAAGGGACCTCAATGAAGGGCAAGAACGAGCAATGGCTGAAACACCAAAGTCCGAGACCATGGAGCTTCCCCTGATAGAAAGCTTCACAAGACCATCACAGTTGCTTATTCTTCTTCCCACAGCAATTGCAGAAAGCGTCATATCGGTTGCCTTTTTCCCTTCCAAGCACCTGACTCGGCATCCATCCTCATCATCATCACTCGGAACCATGTCCACATCATTACAGGCCGAGAATTCAGACAGACGGATCATTGTAAGAACACTCAGCCATCGTCTGGACACACAAGAAGAGACACATCGTTCTTTGACTCCAGGAAGGCGTCTCAAGATCTCGAAGAGGCACTCGTCGGGGAGAATTTCGATAGAGGATCGGTCGGTAGCCTCAGGTTCCGATTCACTGAGACGAGCCCTTTTGCCTGGAGGGTAATACACATCGACATTGTTACCGACGAAACGCGATTTCCCCAGATTCAACTGAGTTTTACAAATCGAACCCGTAGCATTGTGGAATTCACCAGCCCCTGAAAAAAAAATGCCATTAGAGAGAGCAATCGTAAGGTAAGATCCTCAATCTCAAATCTCATAGTACTAACCATTCTAAAACTCAAGACCCATCTCGAGGCTCAAGCAAGAAACAGTGAACACAACCATTTCCATTGAAACCGCTAAACCTAATTTCATATTCCGCCATAAACAGATCAACCAACAAGCTTAAACCCAGAAACCCTTCACCTAAAACTACACTTCATAGATCATGGAATCGAGTTCTAACCCATTTCTTCGACTCCAAACCTAAATCAGGGCAAATTTACAGAACACAATGGAGCAGAACAAGAACTCACCGCAACAATTCGCAAGAGCAGGCATGTCGATAAGTTCTGATACGCATAACACAACTTTCGCTCTCCAAATCCCGAAACCCTAAGGAAATCTAGGGCAAAAAACAGACACCAGAACGAAAAAAGATGGGATTTTTTTTAATGGGTTTTATGTATCTTGCATCTGTTCCACCGGACAGCGCCTATATATACGAAGGGACTGTAATGAATTTGAAAAGCGAGAGAGTTGACAAGTTGACGTTCGTTGGTGTTTTGTTACATGCAATGTATCTTTCCGCTCCTCGAAAAAACATTGTTTGTTGTAATATTTCAACTTATCAACATCACAATGGGAAATAAAATAACCGTAATATTATTATTTTATTTCTGTTGCCGTGATAATATATATTATTGTTATAATTATTATGTTATTTTATCACATAGTGTCCTTTACTATGTTCATGCCCCTTGAATTTTTGTCTTTACTATGTTCTTCCTAGAAAATAAAAGGTTTTTTAAATGGGAATCCGAGCAGTATTGGTTTATTTAATCCAAATTAAACTTTTATAATTTGGTCCAAAGTTGCTGAATTATTTTGGGTATTCTAATTTGAGATTATTAGATAATCAAAGAATTTCGTAGAATATATTCAACGTTAATGGAAGATTACTACTAATAACATTATATATATATACTATATACACACACATATCGACTCAAGTTAAATTTTTTTTATATTTTAGATCTTTTCGGTTTTTTAAAACTATAATCATTCTTATTTTATGTTGGATTTATGTTGGTTCAGTGTTTGTTGTGATCAGTATGTTTTTCAGTTGTTATTGATATTTTAGTTTTTTTTTTATAATCAGGATGGCTCTCGGAGCCTTCAATCCGACTACATTCACTCTAGATCCAGGACCAACCTTTATATATAGACCATTTTGATCTAAAAATTACATCTCTCTCCACCAATGGAATCAAATCCATAACCTTGAGGATGATTTTGTCACCTCTCATCTACTAGACCACTAATTGTTGGGTGATATTTTAGTATTTTGTTTTGTTACTGGCGAAATCTAATGATATTTTTGGTAATTTGGTTGTTCATTTATACAAGTATACAAGATTTCTATATATATATATATATATATATATATATATATATATTCCGACTTAATTATATTAATTTTCAATTTTTAAAATTTATAGTCATTTTCACTTCATGTTAAATTGAATTTGGTTCGTTTTTTTTTTGTGTGTGTTCGGCTTGCTTTCGTTTTTTATTCAATCTTAAATAAATTTTAGTTCATTCTTTGGTTATTTTTATATTGGATTGGAATTTAATTTTTTCATTTTAAAAATTTATATCATTATTCATATCAAATTTGATTTGGATATAGTTAAACTTGTAAATGAATAACCACCCATATATATATAGTCGTTTAATTTGGCTCATTATTCATACGCAACACAATGAATATATATATACACACACGCACACAGACAACAGTCATAAAACCGGCCCACCAAATGGTTTCTAATACATGCTACCAATAATATTAATTAGGACTTTTAATTTTATTTTAATATTTCGCTAATTGTTTCGAGAATGTTATTAGTTTTCCTCTGGTGGTTGCCGCCAATTTTTCAATTGTTAGATTCTTTTAATAAAGTTTTTTTTTTTTTTTTGTAAATTTTCACTAATGAGGTGCAACGGATTTGGCTATGGAAATCAGATGTCCCACATTTGACGTGTGCCATTGAACAATGGTTGGGCGACTTGTATTAGAAATAATATAATTATGCCATCTATATACTTTATATTTTTAAAAAAAAAATTCTTAAATTATTTACTTAAAAAATATTTATTAAAAAACAATATACAATATGGTTTTTAAATCAATATTTAATCTATAGAAAAAATAAATCTATAATATTTATGTTCAACTTTATGGTTGATAATTAGTCATACAAATCAAAATATTTTACTCATTTATGATAGCCAAACTTGAATACTTGAATTAGTTTTTTAAATTCCAAGATATAATTGAAAAATGCAAATTATTTCAATCTCGTTTCTACTTTCTAAGCGAGTTACATAAATGTAGCAAAAAATTAAATAAAATAAAAAAGGGTAGACGTAAAACAACGGGATGGGTTAAACCTTGACGCATACGTTCTCCCCAAATGATAATGTGCAATGAATGTGATTGCCCAAAACTATATTAATTTCGTTATTTGCATAGGTGGGTCCGTTATAAATAGACAAATCGAATATTATATAGTTTCAAATGAATGAGAGGATAAATGACTCGGAAAGGTTAGAACCAATGGACCAAACCCAATTGGGGCTATCGTCATAATGCAACGTTTATATTTATTTATTTATTTATATCATGCAATCAATAAACGGAAATATAAATTTATTGTAAGGTTCCCATTTGCAATTGTTTATATAAATTTACATTTGACGAATGTGTCTACCACCAAACCCTTTTCATATGAGGCCACAATCACGACTTAGGCCGTGGAAGTTGATTTATTAGTGTATGCATTCATGATTTTTAATATTTTATTGTTTCTGGCTGTGTGCTATTTTGGAATCAAGTACAATGGTACGTAGAATCATTTCAGAAACCGCGACAACCCACATTCAGCCCGAGCCCCAGGATTTCGGATTAGGGTTTGGCCGGCCCGATTTTTTTTAATCCTAATAACCAAACTCGAAGTTTGATCCTATAGACTTCAAATTTGGATTCGAATCGGGTCGGGTTGGGTCAATCCGTTAAATTTAGTCTATGAAATTTATTTTTTAAAATTTTTATTAATTATTTTTTGAAAAAAGAATCGGACTTTCGGAATGATCCGAACTCGATCTTGATTCAATCCAAAAACCCAAAAATTTTTGGATCGAGATATTTAAACCCTAAATCCGCTATTTTTTCGGATTGGACTTCGGAGCTCGAACCAAAATTGACATATTTACTTTAATTCAAACTTCTTAAAATATTTACAATATTTAACCCAAAAAATAAGAAAATATTAATCAGCAGAAAAACTATAATACATGCCTGGAATTTCGAGGCCGACCATGTCCTTCCATGTTGTTGAACATGTTTGTTCTTACAAGCTTTTGCATTATGTCCAAACCTGTTTGCACTGCAAGTCATTCATCGTCCATGTTGTATAAGATGGTCCGAGAGGGAAAACAAAGAGAATTAGGGATTTCGTCAAGTTTTGTCGAAGAAAATTACGAGGTTTCACCTAAGTTTGAGTGATCTAATGTGGTAGGAGGATACGTAAAATATTTTCTTTATCATGGATTCAAATCCAAACCTTGAGAGAGCATTCACCCAAATTTCTCCGATTTTTTAGGAGATGTAGTTGAGTTAAAAACCCGGTGAACTTCCGGACTATAAAAAGAAGTGCTAGATTTGAGGTTTTTTTTAAATAAAACTTATATTGAATCGGTTCATCAGGTTTTTGACACAACTAAAATAATGTTGTATCAACATGGAGAGTTAAAATAGACATTCGAGTTTTATTTAAAGATTAAAAAAAATCAGGTATTGATCATGAGAATTTTTCTTCTAATTTTCCTACAATAAACATCCCTTTACAATAGGAAAAATGATAGAAGAGGTCTTTTGGCTAAGACCTTATGTCACCTTATGGTGGATCTAATTTGGAAAGAAAGAAACGATCGCATATTCAAGGAAAAAACGAGATTAATTCACGATGCACGGATTAAATTATTGTCAGTTCAGTTGGGCAACAACTCACGCCACAAAAGTTTATTCGAGGATTGGTACTACTTGACGGAAGACCTCCGTTAGACGGCACGGTACATTTGACGTAAATTCATTTTGCCTTCTTACACATGAGAATCTAAGTTTCGTTACTTAATGAACAGATGTATTTTTTTTTAGATCTAATATAACCACATTAAAAAAAAAAGGGCTGATGATGGTCAGACCCTCGGATCGTGGGCCTTATTTTAAACCCAAATGTTAAATAACCAAACATTCGACCCATTAGTATAATTAAAGGCCGACATAAAAATATTAAAATATCGAGAATTTCTTAGGGCTAAGATATGTATGTCCGAATCCGTGTCTTCACATTCTCTGTCATTTCTTAGATATCATAGTCTGAGCGAAATAAACAATGACTGACTCGATAACTCGTGGTCGAGTGATATACTTATGGTTGTAAAGTGTGGTTGGGGTGCTTATGTTTCAAAGGTCCGAGCAACGGGTTTGAAGATGGGCATTATCAAAAATACCATCTTTTTTCTATTGGTAATAACGTTAAATTTACGGTGATAATTAAGGGTAGACGTTTTTATCCCAAACCCACAGGTTTTCAGATATTCTATATCGCGGATAGCTGAATTCAACTATCCGCGAGATTATAAGTTTGATGCCAGATTTATGAGACAAAAAACTTGGATTTCAGATTCAGATTTAGATTTTGATATTTCATGACGGGTTATCTCGCGGGTATACGATTAATTTATATATTTACGAAAATATCCTTGGTTTATATTTTTTTACAAAAATATTCTATATTTTATTTGAAAACTTAGTTAATGATTTATTGATTTTTGTAAATTCATATTCAAATTTATATATCTTGGATGATGTTGGATCAATTTTGTACGATTTTGGTATTAAATATTTCTATCATTCGAGTATATAGAATTTATTTCAAAATATTTATATAATATTCACGGATTCGAGTTTCTAGATACCCGATCTTATATCATGGATATCCGAATCGCGGATATCCGAATGTTGTGGGACTGAATTCGAGATATTACCATCCAGTAACTCGATGACACTGAGACCGGATACCTTAAAAAATCTGGGTATCAATCTCGATTTCAATAGTGACTCCAAATTCTGTACACCAAAACCATATTATTTCCATTTCCACCTCAATAAGGACAGATGCAAGCATACCACCTGCCGAAATTTCATATAATAAATACCATGGAAATAATAAAAATTAAAAAAGAATGAGAATTTGGAGGATAAAATTCAATCAAGAAGTAAAAATTTTAAATTAAAAAGCATAATATATTATGGAATTAGCCGAAAGGGTGAGTGGTTATGAATAGGGATGTCAATTGAGTTGGCCCAACCCATTTGGGTCCAATCCATTTGGATTTGAAGGATAAATGGGTTGGGTTGGGTCGATCCGTTAATAATAGTGGATGAGTTGGGTCGACCTATTAAACCTGTATAAACCATATAAATCCATTTTTATATTCACAAATTACTTATATACATATAACTATTAATATGTATATTCATATAACCTAGAAATTATCATTTTAATATTCGATTTGGTTTATCCATTCAATAAATATATATATATATAACTGGATATTATATTATATTCGATAGTTTATAAGCAAAATTATATATTTCTTTAAAAAAATAAGATTTTTTTATTTTTTAAATTCGATTCGATATTTTCAAAATATTGTCGTTTAGATTTTTTGAACGGGTCGGCTCAAAAACGACACCGATTTTTTCAATATGATTCGATTCAGAAATGGTTCGAGTTTTCCGGTATGATGCGAATTTTTGGTACGATTCGATTCGGAACAGTACCGAGTTTTTTTTATACGATTTGAATTTTTTGGCACAATTCGATGCGAAAACGACACCGAGTTTTTTTATACGATTCGATTCGGAACGGTACCGAGTTTTTTATATGATTCGAATTTTTCGGCAAGATTCGATTCGGAAACGACACCGTGTTTTTTGGTACGATTCGATTCGGAACGGTACCGAGTTTTTTATACGATTCGAATTTTCCGACACGATTCGATTCGGAAACGATATCCAGTTTTTCGGTACGATTCGATTCGGAACGGTACCGAGTTTTTTTATACGGTTCGAATTTTCCGGCATAATTCAATTCAAAAATGACACCGAGTTTTTCGATATGATTCGATTCGGAAACAAAACCAATTTTTTTGGTTCGATTCAGAACGATATCGAATTTTTATACGATTCAAATTTTTCGGCATGATTTGATGCGAAAACAAAACATAATTTTTCGGTACGATTTGATTCGAAAACGATACCAAATATTTCGATTTAATTCGTATATATATATAAATATCTATATATGTTAATTTTTATATATCTAAATATAACAATTTTAATTAGTTAAAAGATGAGTTTAATTTTAACTAAATATATAATGATGAATTTAATAGGTTAACCATTTAACCCATGGGTTTAATGGGCCAAAACCCATTTAACCCATTTTAAAAAATTAACCAAATGGGCTAACCCATTTGGATTTATAAGTGGGTCGGGTTGAGTCGACCCGTATAACCCGACCCATTTTGACATCCCAGTTATGAACCATTCATTCTTCACGCCTTCGTCTGTCACATCCCACTCGCCGCCCGGTGATGGAAGCATCTGCACCTGCAACTTGCCAAAGAAAGAGCCTCGCAAAAATAATACAATCCAAAATAAAAACATTTTTTATTAAATAATACATTACATATTCGACCTCTGTATTTGAATTTAATTATTAACACGATCAATTTTCTAATTCATATATTTCATAAAAAAAATTTATGTAACTCCAAAACCCTCTGTAATTATGTGTCGATATTGCGATTTTTATTATTCAAATTTAGTCCCTGTGTTTCAAATACTCAATTTGGATATTTTTGGATGAAATCGGATCGAATATTTGAAATCCAAATAATTTTGGAGATAATTTTTTATACATCAAAATTCAATGAGAAAAAGAACAATGGGACAAAAAAAACAAAATTTTAAATTATAAAAAAAAAAAAGACAATGCAAAAGTTAGATTGTGATTGTGAAGTGGGAAAATGGCCGAAAGCAGTTGGGCGTTATATGGCATATAATGCTTGTGACCGTTGGGCATTTAACTGACTGTTCATCTCCATAAGTTATTGTCGTATTTTATGTCGGACCATATAAAAATACTTTTTTTTTTTTTTGTTAAAGTACTTTTTTTTATCCAATTTCTGTCTCTTTTTTTTCTGACGTAACTTATCCAAATTCTAAAAACAACATTTTTTTGCTTTATATATTTTGAACATTCGATCTAAGTCGCTGTTTGGATCTATACGTATATTGTAATATCTAACACAAAATTCGATCCTTTGGTTTTGGGGGGATATTCCTCAAACTTTAATTAGATTTCTTAATCTATATTTACCATATTATTCTATAAATTAAATTCCAAATATATGAATTAAGAAAATACAATGAAACAACAAAAACTTGGCCCAAAAAAATAATAGAATCGTTGTGATGTGAGATTATATAATTCTAGAGTTTTATTTAGAATGATTTAATATATAATGAGGAAACTTTGTAATAGAGATGGACGTTTCGGTTCGATGTACCGAACCAAAAAATACAATATTTTTTCTGATCCGAATCGTGCAAAATTTTCGAACAGTATTAATTTTAGAAAAAACTGAATTTTCGAAACCGAATCGAACCAAACCAAATTTAAAAAAAAAAACCCAAAAAATTGATTTTTTTAAAGATCTATTTTTTTAAATAAAAACAAGAAAAGAACCGAATCGGAACTGAAATCGAACCAAATATAATAACCAATTGGTATTTATTTTTGTAAAACCGAAAAAACCGAATCGAACTATTACCAATCCGAACCCGAATCGAATGCCGAGACGTCCATCCCTACTTTGTAATAAATGCTTTATTATTCACAACAAATTCTTAAAATAGGATTCAAAAACTTTTTACCATAAAAAAAATCAGATTCAAAAACTTTCACCATAAGTTATATTTTCTAATGAGATGTAGTATACATATATATAAATATTGTAAATTTTAGTTTGCATATATGATAGTATAAAATATCATAAAAAAATCACGAAATTGTAATGAATAGATTCCAAATTTTAAGGAAGTGACAAAAAACGAAAAGAAAAGAAATTCAAAGATTTGGTATGCAAAGCCAGCCAGAACATGGGCACGTTGTCATGTTGACATTCTACACATATATTATTGTGTACTTGGAAAGAAAAAGGTTACACTACATGTGGTGATATTTTTTTTTTATAAATAGAATGATTCTCGGTCCAATTATATTCACCCTAGATACGTGATCAGCTTTTATATATACATCATTTTGATCTAGAAATTACATCTCTATCTATCAGTAGAATCGAACACATAAACTTGAAAATGATTCTGTCCTCTGTCATCCATTGGAACACGAACCTATATAAACATGTGATGTTATCATAAAGTTCAATTTGTATGCACACAACTCCACTCATATATGGACCGAGGGAACCAAATTTCACGTGATGCCCTAAATACTATATATATATATAAAATCCAAAATTTATGAACATGTATGTAAATCTAAGTTCTCCTCTCCTCAATATTTGGAGGTAATACCATTTTCATTTCCAGATATTTGGAAAATTTTAAATAATATTCGTGACTCGTTAACTGTAGAGTTGTTTATCTCCAAAACATGATAAATTTAAATCCAATATATTAAGTGATTTGTTCATAAATTCATATGTTTGGTAGAAGATATTCCAAAGTTAATTAATGTCATGACAACCCCTCCTTACACAAGGTCAGAAGTTCGATTCCTCCTGGTATCAAGCTTCTTCTAAGTCAGTCAGTTTCGGTTGGTTTACTTGTTCGATGTGGCTTGCCGTTTATTGCGTTGGGCTGTTGGATTTATCGTCCACGATACCGTGTCATTCGCCCGATCTTATGGACTGTGAGACGTTGCAGAGTCCGCCCCATTGGGTCGAGGGCGGATTTCCATCATTATAAAAGGAGAAAATTCCAAAAAAAATATTGAACTTTCAAATTTTGACAAAAAAAAACACTGAACTTTTTATTTTATTAAATAAACATTAGACTTTTTAAGTTTGACAAAATAAACATTTAACTCTTCTACGATTGTCAAAATAAACAAAATGACTGACGTGATATAATGAGATACAAACACATCAAATTATTTTATTTAGTTTTTTTTGACAATCGAAAAAAATTCATATATTTTTTTGGATCACTAAAAAAGTCCAGTATTTTTTTTTGATAATCGTAGAAAAGTTCATGTATTATTGGATCATTTAAAAAATTTAGTGTTTTTTAGATTCGTTTAAAAAGTTTAATGTTTATTTGATAAAAAATAAAGTTCGGTGTTTTTTTATCAAAATTTAAAATTTCAGTATTTTTTTTAGAATTTTTCCTTATAAAAATAAAAGTTGATTAATGTTGTAATTTGAAGATAATCTGATGACTCATAGTCTGATTATGATGAAGACAAAACGAAAAAACGAACTAAAAAAAAGAAAAATAATTTATTTTTTATTTTAAGTCTTGAATGTGATTTTTAGAATATTTTTTTTTTGTGGTTGAAGTTTTACAAATTTTTTACAACAAATCAGAGCTCAAAACGAACGTGAAATAAAAATAGTTAAAAAACGTGAAATAAAAAGGAGGAGAATCTTGGATTTGCATGTCCTCATTATCCAAATAAATAAAGTAAATTGTATTAATACACCCAATAATAATAATAATAAAATACAATGTTTGAAATTGTCTACAAAGCGGAGCCAATAATTATTCGGTAGCAGACTTTCGAGCGTTATTTAGAATATTTAAAAGAAAATAAATTATGGAACTTTTGCGATGAACGAGGGGGCGACTACACTTTGACCACATGCATGATTTACAAGTTACCAAATCATGAAGCTTTGGAACATGGAATCCACTTTCCCTATTATCTACTCTAACCATCCAATTAAAGAAATACCATAAAATTACATTTTTCACACAATAATTTTAGGACCCATTTCATAGAGAGAGAGAAATTTAGGGAGATATATATAGTTTGGTTCCAAGTTAAATTGGATATTTTTTTATTTCAAATTTTCATTTTCAAAAAATTACGTATGTTTACTTTTTTATGATTTGAATTTTTGATTAATTTCATTTTCAAGTATAACATTTTATAAGACTTTAAATCAAATTCAATTTATATCCCATCGAATTTTGTCTGCAACCAAAATATTCAATTTCTAAAAACGTTTATTACAGTAAAACGCATTAAATAAGATTTTCGAAATACATCACAAACATATATTTAGAGGCCACAGATCTATAAAAAAAATTTAGATATATACATAAATGGGTTTAAGACTTTAATTACACAAATTGTTGTAAACTAAACATGTCATAAATAAATAGAAAAAAAAGATGGTCAATCGTCTTAGAGTTCATCGATTGGTTTCTCAACCCTTGATTCCTATCAGATGCAAACAGTTTTCTTGGAACCGATCCACGAATTCTCACAGTCGATTAGCAAAACCAGGTTCGGTTAACGAGAATAATTGTAATTAGCAAACCGGTGGTTAACCGGCCGGTCTCGGAGAATACCGCTGTAAAGAACTGCTCTGTTTTCAGCCATTCCTCTGTTTCCACCATTTCTCTTGAGCTTGTCCGAATCCTCGTCAGAACAAGAAAACCGGTCTCCGATCTTTGATTTTCGTCGGAATTCTTCGCCGTCGCCTCTCGGATCGACGACGTCCGCCGCGAAATGAACCCTCTTCTTCTTATTCTTCTTCTTCACCATCGTCTTCTTCGTCTTACCCTCTGAAAACCAGAAACAGAGCATGCCGGAAAAAGTTAGAAACTGGGTTTTCTCGCCAGAATTTGACCGGGAAATTTCGGAAACTCACCGGAGAGACGAAGAGCTAAGAGAATAACTGTGCCGGCGGAGACAGCCATGGCGGTGGCAAAAGCCATGCCATGGGAACCAAGGATCGAAGACATGGTCTTTGTCTGTCTGTCGTTTTTTTTCAGATGAAGAAGAGAGAAACAGAGGAAAGCAAAAGGAGGTCAGAGATGGTAGGTCTGAATGGAATGCACAGTTTTTTTTTTTTTTTTTTTTTTTTTTGGGGTAAAGTCAGTGTGATGATTTTATTTTTATAAACAAGTAAATGTTAGATAAGATGGATATATTTAAGAGATTGGCTTTATTTTCTTTTTGAGTTTATTAATTTGGTAATAATAAAATATATCTGGAATCTGCATGAGGTGTTTATCTTGAAATTAAATATGGTGGACATTTATGGTAAATGGTAGACAGATTAATATCAACTTCTTTTCATAATTTATATATATATATATATATCTTTGACTTGGAATACTATAAAAATTTCCAAAGTTTTAGGTAGAGCAAGAAAAATAAAAGATGATATTAATAAAAATTCATTAACTTGTTGAAAAACAAAATTTTAATTTTTTTTTTTTGCTTTGTTAGAATATATCTTTATAATTATCGTACTTGTTAATTGGTATTAGAAAAAATCTCGTTGATTTATATTCAATATATATATATATATACATTAATTCATAAAATTGATGATAATTTAAATTTCTTTAATGATGATGTATAAATTAAATATTAGTTTTTAACATAAAAAATTAATTTAACGAAATCGACCGATAATAATTTACAATCTCGACTATGAAACCGATGTATAAATTAGATATTAATTTCAATATAAAAAATCAATCGAGATTATAAATTGTTTCCGATTTTGTGAATTTGGGTATCCTTCGAAACATTTATTTGACATATTGATATTTCTATAAAAAAAATTCTTTTTTTTTAAATGATGAGAAAACTTTCAGGTTTTTATTCGAAATTATGAAAGTTTTATTATTTGTGCGGAACTTTCTATTTATTTGGTCGAAGAATGTCGAGGTCTTATAAAGAATATCTGAAGAAAAAAAATCAAAAATTGTTGTGAAGAATGAACGAACCCTATGCATCGGTCGTTCAAATCGATGTTGGACAGTTGAAAGAGTTATATATATATCCCCTTCGTATATTTCTCTTTAGTTTTATGTTTTTATGACGCACGTACATATATATACATATATATATATATATATATGTGGGTGTACGTATTTTATGGCCTTTGATTAAATTATTCCAAATTTTTTAGTATACAAAACAAAATTATTCCAACCTTTTGACCTTTTGATTGGCCTTTTCTTTGTGAACATTTTGGTCGTTAGATGCCATCTCCCTGCACGAAAACTACCACAACTTAATATATATATATATATATATATATATATATATAATTTATAAATATCGGTTGAATAATCAATTCGATGATACATTTTCTTTGAAAAAAAATTGTTGGGCTTAATCGTTAATTGGATACAAAATTACTTTATTCCAAAAGAGAAATTAAAAAATGAACAAATTACTAAAATCAAGAATACCACCGAAACAAAAGTACTATTATTAAAAAAAAATCGAGAATACGAATTTAAAAAAGAAATTTTTTTTACTATAATTAAATGTTGGATGATAAAAGAGTGGGATTCTTAGTTACCAAACCGTACACGAATAGAAAGGAAGGCAATAATAGTGGCCACATGATTATTTGTCTTATAATTAATTAATCATCGACTTTGTCATGGAATTTTGGTATTTTATATGCCCTAAAACATTTCATTATATGCCACCATTTATTTATTTATTTTTATAATCATTTTATATTCATTTCAAAAGTAGTGACTACCTTAACCTCCCAAAGGCCATGATGCCAAAATCTTAATTTAAGATCGACTAACCGTAAATATTCATATTAAAAATTTAGTTAGACTACCTTATTGCATACGTAATCTATGTTTTTTAAAATATTTTTTAAATTTAAAGTATGCGTCCATACAGATTCGTCGGCCAAAGCAAATCAAACGTAATATACATTCGAATCGAATTAAATCTGAATTTAGTCGATAAATAACACTAGAACCAAATAAAAAATGATAAGACTTAAACGTATAATATCACCAAACAACATATTTAAAATTGTGTCTGATTTTGGTATGGGGTAATATCGCTTCTAGGCGAATTAAAATGATTTAAAACTAATCATGTAATTATCCAAAAATCCGATATCCGAGTCTTATGGATCGAATTCATATGATATATGTAATATTTAGGAATTTAGATACAGACTTAGAATTTTTATTTCAAAATTCGAATACTGCAGGTTATCTGAAAAATATGATGATACATATGATATTTATTACAAGTTGTGAAATTGTATTTGATTTCAAAGAGTTCAAAATTTTGTAATGTTATTTCCGAAAAATTACAAATGTGATGACCCGAGACTGTTACGGAATGTTAAAACTGTCATCACATATCAATACGAGATTTTTTTTAGCGTGTTTTGTCTTCATCACACACATCCTAAAAAATACTTCCTAAAAAATCACTCATCCTAGAATTACTCCAAAACGATCACGTTTAATTTTAGAGTTCTATCGAGATGGGTAACCGAAAAGAAAAATGCATCTTATTGCTATGAGTAGCTCAATCAATTCCTTTAAGTTATCTTTGACTGTGTAATCTCATACCTATACAACCCTTGAATCCCTCTCATTTCGGTGCGTTTGATTCATCCCTATACTCCTACCTAGAAACTCATCAGGAGTCGTTCCTTGTCCGTGCCTCTCGCACCGGCGATCACTCCTCGCCATCCTATGGTACTTGGATTATCACAGACCCACCAACTTCTACCTGATTCGTCTCGAACCACACCGTATTAGGAGAATATCGGCTCTGATACCATTTGTAATGAACCAAGGCCGTTACGGAATGTCAAAGTTGTCCTCACACACCAACACGAGACCTTTTAGTGTGTTTTGTCCTTACTCGCACACATCCCGGAAAGTATTTCTCAGAAGATTACCTATCCTAAGACTACTCCAAAACAAATATACTTAATTTTGGAGTTTTCTCAAGATGGATAAACGAAAAGGAAGATGTATCTTGTTTCTATGAGTAGCTCAATCAATTCCTTTAATTCCCTTAAGTTAGCTCAATCAAACCCATATTTTCATACTTCATACTGGACTTCTCCAATTCTTTGGGAGATGTAGTCGGGTGATGAACTTCTAGATTATAAAAAAAAATTGAAAGAGTTAGCGATGGCTTAATTCCGTGCTGGGGTGATGTTCCAGCCTACTGCATTGCATAGGAAGCTTACTTTCGAATCGTGCAGAATTCCAAGTAAATGAGGTCCACCCTATTCGATGAAATTCATCAATGTGGAAACCAACTACCCAGCCAGAAACTGCAAGTAAATGACTTTGTACAATATATTATAGAAAGAAATTGACCTGAAGTTCTTCATGTGGACGCGGTCCTTTTACTTTAGGAATCAGAGGTATAAGCGTCGTATTCCACTGCTTTACAAGGTAACAGAAAGAGAATAATTCTTTCCCCACGAAGCTCTCAACAGGTGCCACAGGGTATTCATCCAGACTCGGTAAGGCAACGACTGTTTCCTTGATTTTCGAGGTCGTACGACATCTTCAGAAGGCGGGAAGAACACTAGAGGGACACCGGTTCTGATAGAGACCCTCGAGTTGTTTCACCAGCCAACAGGATAAGTTTGGATCCAAGATGTTACAATAACATTCCGTGGCCATTTCTTTGATCACAACCACATCATATACACGTATACGAGACTTCTGTTTTAGAAAAGTTTCCTCAGCGGATGTTCAGACAGCTCAAAGTCGACCGCAGCTTCCAATGTCGGATGTCCCGGTAATAAGGTTTGAGCTTCCTGGATGGCGAGAAAAAGAAAAAACCTGAGCCTGGCTAACAATTCCAACATACCCGAACCCGAGATGGTTGAATTGTCCCAACACCGCAAAACTCTTTGTTGAAATTCTTCATGTTGGGTCAGGTGAAGGAGAAATCATAAGTTTGTTCTTCTCATTTTTATTGCTAAATTTGTTTTTGTTATTATATTATAATAAAAATAATTTATATGTTTATAAGAAAAAATATTAGCAAAATATAATTGATATAATGTCAATTTTTCCTATGGGCCGGATCCAAGAATTATGACTCTAAACAAATGGGCCGAGCCGGGCCATATGTGAATCGGCTCAGGTTCTCTCGGCTCGGCTAAGCTCAACTTTTACTTATTTATTCTCATTTAATATTAATTAATCACCCTAAAATCATTTGTATTTTTTTTAAGAATTTATTAATGTTTATGTGCATTATTTCATTTCTGTCAAGATAGATGAATTTTCTTCGAAGTTTCTACAATAATTATAAATATAAATTGGAAAAACTTATGCTTAATATGATGAGAGTTGTGTATAATTCGAAGGTCAAATGCACCTTTTTTTCAAATAAGTTTGTTCTGTCCGTTTATAAAATATAGTTGTGTTTTAGTATATTTTTTAGATTTTTTTTTATTATATTGTGATGAAAGTTGTGTCAATTATTCTCTTGAAATAATTTTGAAAATATTTAGAAGGAAATTTTAGCAGAACGTTTATGGATCATCAAATGTAGATTTCGATTGCATATCTACAAAGACTAAAAATATATTCATCCAACTCTCTTTTTTATAATATACACAAATACGTTAATAATATACTAACCCATAACGTTTATACTATGTAGTAAAATGTTATCAATTTTTAAATTAGTGGCATAAATTTTTGAATTTACATATGATTAGCATATTATTCATATTGATAATTTTATACATGGCTTGATCTAATTCATGTTTTTTTAAAACTGATTTTTCAAAACAATAATAAAAAATATTAGAATTACGAAGATAGTCTGGTCGTCAGTTAATTGGATTTCTTTTATATACATATATATATATATATATATATATATATATATATAACATTAAATTAAATTAAATAAATAATGAAAAATGTCTCGAGGAAATGTGCCAAAGGGAATATCCGAAGTGCCAATGGAATTATGCGATGTGTGAATCACTGTAATAAATACCCTTCTTATTGGTTCGGCTTCACTCGGCTTGGCTCAAGCCAACTTTATTTAACTTTCTCTATTTTCTTTTTTCTTTTTTTGATAAAAAAAAAACTTTCTCTATTTTCATTATTTATTTCTCATTTTTCCTTAATTAAATAAATTTCTTCTTACAATTGATAAAATCCTCTAAAAGATTTTGTTTAGGTTAGTTAACTAACGTGGTCTTCATCTTCAGACTTAAAATTGGTTCGGAGTTGTCAACTTGAGCTTCTTTCGCTTTGGTCGACGTAAGAGATGAGTCTGCCACGTCGAAATATCTTTTAATAAAACAAATCTTCCTTTTTTTTTTGGATTTCCAATTATTTAGTAAATATGTACTGAACCTTTTCCAAAGATATTACGTCCACGATTGACAAAAATAAAAATATATTGTATACTTTTTTATGGATAAAAAAACACATTTATTACATATTACTCCTAGTGTTTAATAGAATTTTATACATGAAACCTTATAACAAATGATACGGAAACGTCCATATTCGATCGTTTTTTTGCATAACTAGCCAATCACAACATATAAAATTAAACATATATAATGACTATGCAATCATATAAATATAAAGACAATTTAATTCATATAAACAATGAGATATATAATTATAAACTTTTGTTCGTGTACAGTGTAAATAATTAGATAAGTATTATTTTTGGACTGAGATATTTAGACCTGAAACTGACTAATTTTTAGGTTGGGTCGGGTCGAGTTTCAAGATTCTAACCAAAATTGACATCTCTTTTGAATATGGTTATTTAATAAAAAATGATGAATTTATTTTTGTTATAACTGTAAATTGGAAAATAATTGATAATTAAATATTATATCTATTATATATAATTTTAAATTATATTTTAATTGTTTACATATGAAATTTCAAGAGGAGATGCAGAATCTCTTTCTACGATAAAAAAAAGTTTGATATACAAAATCAATATCAATATTCAAAAGTTCAAAATATTTATTAAATAGATTCAAAATATTGTTTAATATAAAAATATAATTTTTTAGAATATATATATCAAATAACTTATATATATTTTAAAAAATAAATATTCGATATCTTTATCTACGAGATGTCTCCACAAAACAAAACATAGATTTGACGTAAAATATATATTTTTAGTGGACTCTTTTGACTAAAAAACGATATAATTATTAAATTATTATCTTAAAAAGATCGTAAACTTCTGTCGCACGTTACTTTCATCGTATTATTATAAATAATTGTATGTCGTAAGCAAATCTACACTTATATTTTAACTCATAAAATGATGAAGTGTGTTCAAGGGATTTCACATTATTTTTGTTTTTGAATGGAATATTCTTCGAATATTACTACAAGATCCTCCAAGCATGAAGGTATCTCAATTGGTATAAACCTTTCGACCAAATAAAAAAAAAAAGACTTAAGTTGAACAAAACTTGTAATAAAAGAAAGCGTTTTGGAGTAACCAACTTTGGTGAGCCTCTTTTGTTAAGCCGAAGGGACAAATCCGATTTTTAAATTAGAGTTATAATTTAAAGGGATGTAACAATAATATAATACTACTCTTTAATGGAGTTATAATTTTCATCATAAATTAGAAAATACACTTAATTCATATTTAATATGATAATTTAATACATTTGTTCTATGCACATATATACTAAAGGGAGGAATATAATTTTTTCTTAAATAATTCAGAGTTGATAAATTACAAGATATTGTGGAAGATAAACTAATCAGATTTTTAAATTAGATCTTTAATTTTATTAGATAAATAAAGAAATATATAAGAGAGAGTTGGGGAATGTGTCGAAAGGGAATATCCAAAGTGCCCAAGGAATTATGCGATATGTGAATTATTGTGATAAATAGGCTTCTTATCGGCTCGGCTTCACTCGGCTCAGCTAAGCCTTGCTCAAGCCAACTTTATTTAATGTTCTAATTTTTCACTATTTGCTTCTCATTTTTCCTAAAATTAATCCTTCAATTTTTTTTTAAAAATGAACACGGCCTCTAATATTTTAAAGATCTCTCATAATTTTATGATATTTTAATATATATTTTTCTTATGTTTATAATATTAAAAGATAAAGTGATATAACGTTTTAGGGTTAATAATCGATTTCATATCTTTTGTATTTTACAATAATATCAAGACAAATTATAGTGTAATACTTTGTTACAAAATGATTCCATTCGTCTTACTCTTTTTTTTATAGAAATAATTTTGTTTCTTGAATATGTTTGTTTGATGGAAAATTGATGAATCTATTTCTGTTGTTTTACTTCAAATATCATGTTTATGTGGATGTAAATTGGAAAATAATTGATAGTTAAGTATAATATCCATGATATATAATTTTGAATTCTATTTTTATTATTTACTTATGAAATTTCAAGAGGAGATAGACATTCTTTTTGTTATGTTAATAAAAGATAAAAGATACGATAAAAACGTTTGATAAAAAAAATCAATATAAAGATTGGAAAGTTCAAAATATCAAAACATTTATTAAATAGATTGTTTAACATAAAAATGTAATTTTTTTTATAGAAATTCTATTACATATATATACCAAACAATATATATATATAAAAATAAAATATTCGATATCTTTATCTACGAAATGTCATCACAAAACAATAGATAGATTTGACGTAAAATATATATTTTAATGGACTCTTTTGACTAAAACGATATAATTATTATATTATTATCTTAAAAAGATCGTAAACTTCTGTCGCATGTCACTTTCATCGTACTATTATAAATAATTGTATGCCGTAAGCAAATCAAAATCTATATTTTTAAAGTATTGAAATGATGAAGTGTGTTTAGGGTATTTCACATAATTTTTGTTTTTGAACGGAATATTCTTCGAATGTTGTTACAAGATTCTCCAAGCATGAAGGTATCACAGTTGGTATAAACCTTTCGACCAAATTAAAAAAAAAAAAGACTTAAGTTTAAAACAACTTGTAATAAAAAGAGTGTTTTTGGAGTAACCAACTTTGGTGAGCTTCTTTTGTTAGCCGATGTAAGGGACAAATCCGCCACGTGGCAATATTTATTTATTTTTAAGTAAAAACTGTTTTTCCTTATTTCTTTTTTTAATAATTTGATAAAAAATATCCAAAAGATAATATGACAAAAATGGAACCCAAAAAAAAAATATTTTACTTTTTCTTTGATTGATGCAAACACACTAATTACCAAATTACCAATGACTCCAAGTGTTTATAAGAGATGTTGTATAGAAACTAAGGATACTAAAATCTATTAAAAACGATTGTTATACTAAATTCGATTTATAATAAATATTTTTAAGATTTGAGTGCCATTTTTTAAAAATTTTAGATATTAAACTATAATATTTTAGAATATTACTTAAAACCTATATCTCTAATACTTTTTGCTAGTAATAAAAGCAAACTGTTTTTTTTTTTGTATTTAGAGTAACCAAAGTTTTGCTCTAACCACCGATTTAATTAAAAAAATTTGTCGTAATCATAGCAAGTGTTTAAATCACTGGTCTTATTTCAAATAAAATTATCTAATTTTAATGTATATTTGTTAAATTAATCCTTGAATCAAAGTAAATAATATGGATTTGATAAAAAAAAGTAAAATATCAAATGAAATAATGATATAACATTACCCTTATAACTTTCATAATAAACTTGAAAATTTAACCACTTGACATTAAATAGGATAATTTAAAGAAAATATGTGAACGCATTTTTTATTTTGTGGAAATGTATATTAATTGGAGAAAGATAAATATTTACGAAAACAGAAACAGAAAATGAAAAAAGAAATGTTTGAAACAGAAAATGAAAAAAGAAATGTTTGAAAAAAATGGATATTCTTTCTACAAAACCACGAATATTCTACCATTTATTTTCACCAAAAAAAAAAAATATTCTACCATTTATGATTATATCACTTCCCTCTCCCCACCACCTCTCAGCCCTTTCATTATATCTCCGTTTTCTCGCCTTTTCTTCTCTCATTCGCTTTTTCTCTTTTGAGTTTTCTCGGCAACCAAACAGACCCAAATCGCTAGAGAAACCAAAATCCGCCATGAAATTCGGCAAGAGCCTCAGCAACCAGATCGAGGAGACGTTGCCTGAATGGCGAGACAAGTTTCTGTCCTACAAGGAGCTGAAGAAGAAGCTGAAGCTCATGGAGCCCAAAGGCGGAGAGAGTCGGCCGAATAAACGGCTGAGATCCGTGGCGGCGGAGGAAAATCCGTCCGATGGAGATTGGAAGGTGGACGTCTCCGGAGGAGGGATGACGAAGGAGGTGACGGATTTCATTCGGCTTCTCGAGGACGAGCTCGAAAAATTCAACTCGTTCTTCGTCGAGAAAGAGGAAGAGTACATCATCAGATTGAAGGTAATGAGATTTATTTCTGTCGAATTCTTATTTTGTTTCAAAAAAATTTCTCGTGGGTTGGTCGTTTGTGATTTTGTTTGGATTCCGAGAATATTTTCCGTCTCCGTGAAATTTTTTCGGAAACAGAACAAATCGTAGTAATGATATTGGTTCGGATCCAACCATTCAAAATTAAGAGAGGAAGATATAGAGAACTGGGATCCGTAACCTCCTTCGATCTGTCTCCTTCGGATTGCTTTTGAAGAATTTCTCGTAAATGATGTTTGCACATTTGGAATATTCCTTTAGCTTCCTCTGTTTGTGTTGTTTAGATTTCCATTCGTTTTCTTGTAAGAATTCATGGTTAATTGCATGTGGGTAATTGATGATTCCGAAGCTCAAAGTTTTTTTCAATTCTCTTGAATTTGAAGAGTTTTTTTTTTGGAATTTATAAGATGGGTCCCCAAATCCATGGAATTAATGCTTACCCATCAGAACAGATCTGATCAAGAACTTGACAAAGACATTCTTGCATGTTAGAAACAAATTTGTAAAGCCACTTCAATAAGACAATGACAGATTTAGGTCCCATCTGCTGATTTTAACATCTCTTTAAGTTTGGAAATCGCTTAGAAAACAGCCCAATTAGCATGAGCTTGGATTTCGATTTTGACTTGGGGATTTGCAGGAACTGAAAGATCATGTGGTCAAGGCCAAGAACTCGAACGAGGAGTTGATCAAGATCAAGAAAGAGATCGTAGATTTTCATGGAGAAATGGTCCTCTTGCTGAATTATAGCGCTCTGAACTACACAGGTGATTTATCTCTCTTAACCCCTCCATTTTTATTGCTTTGTTATGTTCTTAGAAGTCTGATTACATAATAGGACGTGACGAATACGCTTATGCCTGAACTTATTAGTCTAACACGTTTTCTTCTCATTGACAAAGAATAGTTTCTAAATGTTAAAGCCCTTTCACTAAGTCAATGCATGTTTTTCACAGTATGTGTGGATCTATAAGAACTTTTCGGTCTTTCTTTACGTGAGGAAGGCATTAGTGAGTGAAAAAAACTCGGTCAATGTGCAATCTTTTATGATTTTTGCCAGCAATTCACTAGTAAATTACTCTGCCTTTTCAATGATCTGTTTCTTTTGCCTAAGCCTCGATGTTAGTCTATTACATGTTCTCATACTTGCCCTTTTTACGATACATCCGCTGGAACAATTTGTGTGAAACCCACTAGTAAGCTTTAAGCAATAAGCATCCGGGAATTTTCTCTGCCACCAAATTTTCTTTGGATGCCCTTTGGCACTTGGAAAGAGTCAAATTCTTCGTTGATCTGTCTATCGGTTATTGAATTTTAATGTGCCCCACGTAAGGAATATGCTCTACTTTGTTTATTCGGCTACTTGTTGTATATGCCCTCTGCTTTTGAAGTACCCTTTATGCTTATTCTTCTGCCTCACTGAACTCGGGTATTGGGTTTTCCCCCGAATATATTTTTCTCGCCCGGATAGATCTTTTCGTATTTGGTTTGATTGACATAAACTTGCTCGGTTTACAGGGTTAGTCAAGATCCTCAAGAAGTATGACAAAAGAACCGGAGCTCTGATTCGGTTACCCTTCATCCAGAAGGTGCTTCAACAACCGTTCTTCACCACCGACCTTCTCAACAAATTTATCAAAGAATGCGAGGCAATGCTCGATTACCTCTTCCCTTCGACCGACAGCTTTTTATCGAAGACCAAGAATCGGGAAGAGGAAGATGAGGAAGAAGAAGAAGAGCCAACGACGTCGGGAACGGTAAAGGCAACGGATGATAATCTCATAAGGACCCCGAAAGAGCTGTCGGAGATCGAGTACATGGAGAGCTTGTACATGAAGAGTACGGTATCGGCATTGAGGGTATTGAAGGACATCCGCAAAGGTAGCTCAACGGTTAGCGTTTTCTCGTTGCCACCATTGCAGGTGAGTGGTTTAGAAGATGATTCGTGGAAGAAGAAAGTCCCCATCCTCGAACAAGCAGCAAAATGAATGAATGGATAGCCACTTCTATCTATGAACGTAGCAGGAAAAAAAAACACGACGTATATATGATCTCACAGTTGTAAAACGTTAACCCAAAAAAAAAAGAGGACTTGGAAACTGGGTTTGTTTCTTATTCCCGTCCCGACAAATCTCAACCGAGGTTTTTCTTGGTTCGATTTCGTTAAATGTAAGAGCATTTTAAGAGGGTTTATGAGATTGTTATGATTGGATTTATGATTGGTTTCTGAAACTAGGTGTGGGCATTCGGATCGGGTAAATCGAGTTTTATTCGAACCGATCCGAATAAGCGAATTTCGGTTTGGATTAGGTATTTCAAAAATAACCGAATGGTTTTTGTATAGCCATAACTGATCATTTTCGGTTTGGGTAAATAATCGATTGATTTGGGTTAACCGTATACACTGAAATTAAATTTTAAGAGGATATCGAACTAAAAAATGCGGTATTTTTTCTGTCTAAAATTTATGAACGGTATTAATTTAAAAAAATTGAATTTTTTAGAACCAAAATTTAAAAAACCCCGAAAACTTGAAATTTTTTCAAGAACTAATTTTTTTAAATAAAATTTGAAAGCGAAATCGAATCGAATATAATATAGTAATTAATTGATATTTAATTTTATAAAAATAAAAAGAACTGAACCAAATCATTTCCCACTTGAATCCGAACACGGAATACCGAAACCTCACCCGTAGGGATGAGGATGTCTTTTGCCCATTACAGGTCCAAGAGAATCAGTTCAGTTTTGGTCCCATATAGCTTCTGTAAGAGTTATTTTTAATTTATTTTGGTTATTGTTAATTTTATTTTATTTTGGATCAATGTATTTGTAATCCAACTTTCCGAAAAGTAATCAATTGATAGAATTCATTTTAGAAGAAAACAAAAATTCGTGAAGATGAATTTCATTAGAGGGTTTCTTGTTCGAACCTTTATTTTCTTTTAAAATATAAAATATTTCTACAAGAAAGTGAAGATGAATATAAAAGATTCATTTTTTTTAATAAAGTTTCGAAGGAAAGATTCGTATTTCTTTAAATTTCAAAGATATATCTTTTTCTGATTGAGGGCATTTTGTTATAATTTTTTTTTTCTTTTTCCTTTTTATTTTCCCTTATAAAAGGTTATTAGAAAACCATTAAGTGGAACATTTTAACGAAATTATAGCATTATTTTTTTCTTCTGGATACTCCTTAAGTATTGTTATCCACGTGCAATAGTTCAGTGACATAATTAGTATTTCGTAGGATTTATCACTAATTCATCCAAGTTCTAGATATAATTTGTTCCTATAAAAACATATACATATATATATATATTACAAAATGAAAGATAAAAATGTTTTATGAAAAACGGAAGAGAAATTGAAAGAAATTATGTTACTATTAAAGGAAACAATGAGATTCTTCAATTTTTGACACATTATTTTCTCTCTTTTATACCCAGAAATTAGTTTTTTTTTTCCATTTCTAAAATAGGGAAGCGATCCAAACCTCAATTTTCTTAGGACAAGCAAATTTACACCTTGTACCAAAATTAAATAAAGTTAAGGGGTCACATTGCATAAGTACTAAAAATATAGGTCGTCATAAATAAAAATTATTTCGTTAAAACAAATATTTCTTCCGTTTCTAAATAATTATCGTTTTAAAAAATTTCACACTTTTTTGTAAAATATAAAACATCTTATACATCCTTATTTAATATAAATTTAATGATAAACAAAAAATAGAAAAATTATATAGAAAAATAGAATGAAATATATTTATAAACAAAAATAATTATTTAAAACGTTAATTATTATTTTTTTAAAATAAAATAATTTAACTAATAAAATGGAATTCTTTTATTTTCTGCTTCTTATATTTTTTTTCTTCTTATATTTCCCTTTTGTTCTCTCTCTCCTGTTCCCTGCACGTTACTTCATTTCGTGCTCCCTTCGACAACCATAGTTTAATCTTCGGGGATCAACAATGGCTTCTTTAACTCCGATAAATCGATCCATCTCCATTTTCAAGAATCCCCAACTCGCAAAACCTGTTATTTCCCTATCCTCAACATTCTCGCCGACGAACCCACTTCTTCTTCGCGCTAAAATCGAGAATCTGAGGATGCCCATGAACGGAGCAGCTCCTGCGGCGGTGGTGGTGGCGACGAAATCGGCGGAGAAGCAGAAAAAGAGGTATTCCGGCGAATCAAAAGGGTTTGTGGAGGAGATGAAGTTCGTGGCGATGAGGCTTCACACGAAGGAGCAAGCGAAGGAAGGAGAGAAGGAGACGAAATCGCCGGAGGAGAGACCGGTGGCGAAGTGGGAACCCACCATTGATGGGTACTTGAGGTTTCTTGTGGATAGTAAGCTGGTTTACGATACGCTTGAAGGGATCATCGACAAAGCCGCTTTCCCAAGTTGTGAGTATCAATCATCTTCTGAAATCTGTTTCCTTTTTTTGGATTTTGTTTGAGTATTTGATCGTTTCATGTGGTGAAATATGAAACCCTAGTTGGTTGTGTTATTTGAAGATGTTTGATATATTATCTTTAAGTTTTGATTCCTGTTAATGGAGCAGTAGCATCCATGGATTTTGGATAAAGAAACTGAGATTGATTAGCTTTGAGATGGATTCTTGATTCATCTTTGATAATGGAATGTCTCGAGATCGATTTTTGATGGATGTTACAGACAGAGGATTCTTGTGATTGTGTCGAAGTTGTTTCTTATAGATGATGGCATCCTTAATAGGATTTAAGGTTGTTGTTTTCTCCTTTGGTCTCTAAATGACTGATTGGGAAGTGAGGATCTTTGGCTTGAATCTTAAATTAGTTTAGAAAGACTGTTTCTTATCTTGTTTTGGATTTGCTTTATTTGATGATGTTGACTGCCAAAATTGGTTTTCTTGGATTGACTTGCTTTTAAAGATCTGGTTTCTGTCACCAGCTTTGAGATTGTTGGATTCCTCTTCTATGAATTTGTCACTTCACGGGCTTTACGCAGATGTGTGTGTGTGTATTCTCGCTGCTCGTATAGTCTAATATAACCAGCTTTTCTCTGACCGTTTTTCTCTGATTTCCACCGAGAATCACTCCATGGCTGCGACAACAGGGCGGCTTTCCTCCCAGTGATAGGGTTAATGTTGTGTAACTGCAAGATTTCTGGAGTTTGCTCATAGTTTTGGATCTACGCTGAATATTCAACCAATCTTAGCTTCGGTTGTGTTTTCTTGCAAAAAAGTCCGATGTTTTAAATTTTATTTTCGGTCTGATGTATGACGTAGAAAGCCTTTGATAGTTTCTGATATTTAGATTGTCGTCGGGCAATCTCCGGGAGAGATTACGGATACGAAAGGTTGAAACTTGAAATGATAGTGCCTGATGTATCCAAAATGAACTTCACTGTTTATCTTTCCACCCGAATGCCTCAAAATGATATGAATTTATGCTCTGTTTTTTCCTAGATGCCGAGTTCAAGAACACGGGATTAGAAAGGTCGGGGAAACTGGCAAAGGATTTGGAGTGGTTCAAAGAGCAAGGGTACAAGATTCCCGGGCCATCTGCTCCTGGTATAACCTATGCCGAGTATTTGAAGGATTTGGCCGAGAAAGATCCTCAAGCATTCATCTGCCACTTCTATAACATCTACTTTGCTCACAGCGCGGGTGGCCGGATGATCGGGAGAAAAGTAAACCTGTCTCTCTTCACCTCTCGCTACCAAAAATCGGCTAAAAACTCGAACCCTTTTCTGAAACTTTTGCAATTTTCGCAGGTAGCGGAAAAGATCCTCGATGACAAGGAACTCGAGTTCTACAAATGGGACGGCGATCTTTCCCAACTTCTGCAGAATGTGAGGGAGAAACTGAACAGAGTCGCCGAGGTAAAACATGAAATAAGTACCCTGTAACGAAAAATCGTCGAACATTGCCTTGAAATCTGAGTTCTTCGACGGGGTTTTTGCGATGTAAAACGTGACCCGAGCCATGGTTCGTTGTTGGGCAGGGATGGACGAGAGAAGAGAAGAACCATTGCTTGGAAGAAACGGAGAAGTCGTTTAAGCATTCTGGTGAGATTCTTCGTCTGATATTGTCGTGATTCACTCGTGCAAGAAAGAAAAACTCCACGTGCAGAAATAAATCTACTGTAACTGTTGATTTTCGTGTGTATTATAAAGTTTAATTAATTAATTAATGTTTTTCATTATTGATTGATGATCTTGTTTTCAATCATCATAGTTTAAGTTTTTTTTTTTGATAATCGGTTGATCCCAAACCCAAAGGCCCAGACTAATTCCGACCTACACGCACGATCCTGCAACACACGTGGGATGTGAAACATCCGAAGATGGCAGGAGGGGAATCTCTATACTCTGAGTGTTGAAGTCACGATCTCATTTACAGGAAGGAGCTCTCAAAGGATTCCCCATTTTAAGTTGTTTTATATTATTGTGTAGATTGTTATTTTTATTTGTTTTCACAAATGATATATCCAATAGTGTGCGATGACTTGTTTTGCTCGAGAATTACGTGACCAACGTAGAAATTTAAATTCGAGAAGAGTAGGTTTAACAATTTTTTATACTTAATCTAAAATTAAATATTTTTATTAAAATCGACAAAAAAGTGTTGAATTAAGTGTCGTTTGAAGGAATCCCACTCGCAGGACATGCGCGTGAACTCCACCTCCCCGATTTCTCTGGACTATAACCTTCCCAAATCCGATGATTTAGCTGATTTCGGCGTCAGAGGCGCGTGACTCAACGCTCATCGTTATTCCTCGTATATAATTAATTTTTCCGCAGGGGAAAAAAGGCGAACGAATATTTCTTTTGCCCAATAAGTAAATATATTTTAAAATAAGCTTTTTACCCTTTAAAATTAATTTTTAAAAGCTGGGGTTTTATGATAGAATTATTCTAATATTCCATACCCTTCATGGGAATTCTTAAAGTTTCATCTTCTCTTGACTGCAACGAAAAAGGATTTACGCTTCAACTTGAGTATAGATAAATTAAAACCTCATTTGATTTGTTTTAAAATTATTACACAATTTAATTTTGCAAAGAAATGAATGAGAAACACTGTTGAATATATGAATATCCGACAATTATATCGACATGCGGTATATGTAGGGGCTAATGAGAGAGAGTAGTAGAAATTAGGAGTATACATATGCTTATATTTTTTTGTTATTAACCGAATAATCGAATTGAATCGAATAAAATATAACCGTAATCAAACTGAATCTAATATAAAAACCGAATGATTATAACTTCTCTAAATTTTGAAAAAATCGAATCCGAATCGAGTCAAATACCCCGAAAAATCCAACAATTTTCTTTGAAAAATTGAATTTTTACTAATAAAAAATCAAATCCGAACATAACCAAAACAAAACCGAATGGTTAGAATAACCGAAAAATAACCACCCCTGACAGAAATGGATGATATATATACGTGGTGTCCAAACCTTTTAGCTGAAACAGAGGATCTCATGTGGTGACCCCAATGTTAACTTAGATCCCAAAAAACCCATCAGCAATGTAAAACAAGAAAGGCACATAAAAGAAAACTTATTAATAAGAAGAGAAAGGATGATATGTAAGTAACCAGACCGCACAACCAATCCCTAATGAGAAAGAGAGTGATGATATAAAACGCTGCTCTGCGTTAACCAAAACACTAAAAAAAGGTGTTCTTTCTCAATGGCCGCATTCCATTAAATCCATCCATCAAGTCCAAGCTCTTACCTTCGTCTCTAATACCTCTCGCCAAACCCGAAGAAGACAGCACCCGTACCACTGTTGTGATCAACCGCATACTCTCCCCTCTAACCATTCCAAGTTTCAGTTCCACTCCATACGATCGTATTATTTATCAGTTATTAATCGAATAAAACATAAACGTAACCGAATAGAATCCGATATAAAAACCAAACGGTCATGACTTTTTCAAATACAAATATAAATGAAAAATATAAGTTTTCTAACAATAAAACCGAATTCGAACCGACTGAAGTTTGATGTAAAAATCGAATGATGATAAAAATTCGAACTCAGATTAGTTGAAATGTAAAATAAAATAAAGGGGAGAAGCGCCTGTAGCTCAGTGGATAGAGCGTCTGTTTCCTAAGCAGAAGGTCATAGGTTCGACCCCTATCTGGCGCGTGTTTTCCACTCTCCACTATTTTTCGATTCTCTCTCATAAATCTCCATTCAGCTCTTCTCTCATCTTTACACTCAAAAACTATATATACATCGATATTTTTTTTCCTCTTGTTCAATGTTGCACCCTAAAAAAAAAACCAGAGAGATAGAAACAGAGATCGAATTTCTTGTTGATAGCCATTGACAAGATCATTCAGTCTGAAACCCGAGAGAGAGAGAGAGATCAAGCTTTTAACAGAAACTGTATACAGAAAACTACAACAACAGACACCCGAGGAAACACGGCCAAATCCGCTTTCTTGAAGCCTCTATTCGTCGAATGTGCTCAAGAAACCTCCGAGGAAGCCGGCTCCATTGCAGCTCCCGCACAATATCTCCCTTTTACCCCTGTCAAAACAAGTACTCTTACACATTCAACTCATGATATCAAACTCTGAGCAAGAAGGCGTACAATTTCATACCGAGTTTCCTTGACATGATCGACAAAAAGGGTATCCATTTCAGCAAACAAGAGCATGGAAAACACGTTTCAGTAGCTCAAGAAGACGAACCTGCAAAGCCAACATATCCCTCCGGCTTTGAACTGCCCATTGAAGTGATCGACGGAATTCACACCACTCCCTTTACATTGAGTACAAGCCACCGCACCTATATCCATCAGATACAAGAATCATATAAGCAAGCCTTCGAGCTAATTATAGGGCCAAAGGTCACAAAACCCGTATGATCAATTTCGTTGATTGCTAAGAAAATGCAATCGCTCCGAAGGAAGAGCTCTTGGACACATCCAAAGGGTAACTGAATTTAGCACTGGAGTGGGACAAACTGTCATGAGTTGTAATGGTTTTGCTCTTCTTACCGTTACCCTCACAATCTGCGCAGACGATGCTGTTTATCTTGGTGCTTTGGTTACTATTTGCTGCCTGTTAAAACCGATATAAAAACGAAATCGTGATCGATATTTTCATGGTTTAAAGCCATGAACTTTGAGATGTGACCAAGAATCCGAACCACCAAGACACAAACACATACTCCGGAACATCATAGATTACTAGCAAATCAGTCCATGTAATAAACCCTTGGCAACATAAGAACATTTCTCCTATCAAGCTCCAATTTTTCAAAGGTGATTCCACAAGAAAACAAGGTCTTGCTAAATCCACAAGTTCTAAAACAACAACAAACAACACTGGAAAATCGAAATGAAGGAATGGAAATTTTCTAACCTTAGCTACAAAAGATTGGGTTTTCGAAGCTCTCGAGCTCTGCAACACTTCTCTGACGAAAACAACCTTCCGGGCCAACGATTTGTCGATTACTATTCCTACGAAAGACAAAACCGAGTTACAATTCAGTGACGGAAATTTGAAAAAGGAGCCCAATTTTATGCAAAGCAGTGGAGATTTCGAAAAGGGTACAACGGAAAAAGTTTCATACTTCCTGGTTTTGAGGGAGATTGGAAGGAGAAAGTGGGAGAGAAGCATAGAGAGTGCGCCATTTCTTCTTTTTCTTCTTCTTCTAACTCTTCGGTCTGTGTTCTTGAACCTTTATTACCAAACAGGTTTTGAACTCTGAAACTGATTGCGATTTGTGTGTTCGTGTTATAGAATCTCACCCACTGGAGCAGATAAGGTGCTTCTGCAAGGAGAGGGCAAATGGGTTTTTGTCATTACCGAAATACCCTTTTCTGTGATAAAATAAAAGTTTTGGGGTTTAATCGCTAAATGGACTTTAAACGGTTAAGGTTCGGGTTCGAAAAGGGAATTGATCGGTTCGGTTCTTTCGATTTTACAAAAATAGGTATCAATCGGTTTTTATATTGTATTCGGTTTGATTCGGTTTCGGTATCGGTTTGATTCGGTTCCGGATTTTATTAAAAAAATGATAGATTTCTTTTAAAAATATTCGGTTTTTCGAGATTTTTAAAGTTCGGTTGGGTTCCGAAAAAATTCAGTTCTCTAAAAATGGTACCGTTCGAGAATTTAGAACGATTTCGGATCGAAAAAATACCGTTTTTTCAGTTCAGTTCGATCCGGTTCCGAAGAACCGAACCGAAACGCCCAGGTTCACAGAGTTCAAGCGAAAGACACCAGATTTGGAAGGCAGTCACTCACCAATCAGAGATTGACACGTGTTGTGGTTTTCTTTGCTCACATTTATACACTCTT